GTCAAAATGATCGATTTTTCTTTTATGCCAAAAATCATTAGGATATTAAGTAAAGATCATGTTCCATGAAGATATTTTGTAAATTTCCTACCGTAAATGTATCAAAACTTAATTTTTGATTAGTAATAAGTAATAATAACTTCATTTGAACAACTTTAAAGATGATTTTCTCAATATTTAGATTTTTCTGCACCCTCAGATTCCAGATTTCAAATAGTTGTATCTCGGCCAAATATTGTCCTATCCTAACAAACCATACATCAATGGAAAGCTTATTTATTCAGCTGTCAGATGATGCATAAGTCTCAATTTAGAAATCTTATGACTGGTTTTGTGCTCCAGGGTCAAAATTGTTTAGTCAAGTGGCACTTCTTGTACCCAAATACGTCTATGGTTGTCCTGGCATTGTTCAAGATGAATGTTACTTTGTACAGAATCCATATTACACTCCTTCTAGTTTGGCAGAATATTCACTGGCATTGGCTGTCCTGTGGCAAAACATGATGACAGCTTTAGACCAAACAGGGAATGATGACTGAGTGTGATCTGGACTCAACAGTGTTATATTTTACTGATGAAGTGATCGTGCCAGAGGAGCAGCATGAGAACACTAGTGTGGGCGGTGAACATTATCGAAGCAAAAGTGTGTGTGTGTGTGTGTGTGTCTGTGTCTGTGTCTGCGTCTGTGAGTGTGCGCGTGTGCGAGTGTGTGTGTCCAAACTGATGAAACTTGTCTACATTTGCAATTAGCACTTTGTCTCCGAAGGTTGATTTTGGTGATGATGAGAAATGTTTCACACCCACTGACTGTTCTCCTGCTCTTTTCTCAACATTCAGAAGATGCTAATTATGGTGAATTATGATACCATACTATTATCACACTCTGCTGCCTCCTCGTTTAAAGCTAGGTGTCATGGAAGAACAGACTGGTCTGAAACAGATACAGTATATACTGTCTAATGGAAGGCAGTCATGAAGAAGCACACCTGACAGTCACATGACCTCATCACACGCTTCATTCAGTGCCGTCCTGTCATCATCATCCTGGGAATAAAACATGACTTTTTTACTTATTGACTCTTAGTTCAGTTTGTGTAATGTGGCAATGCAACTGCAACTCTTTGTCACTTTTTCACTTTTGCATATGAAAAATAAAAGATATATTTTTGATATATGTTTTGGTCAGCTTGCATTGTTCTTCTGGTTCTACGCACCTGAGAACTTATTGTCTTTTCTTTTTTGAGTGCCTACAATTCCTACTTGATGAACTGTAATGTAACTCTTGTCCAATCAGATAATGAGTCTAGAAAAAGATGTGAGCTGTTGTTAAATGATATGAATCATGTGTTTCTCTGCAGCTGTCTCTGCTGGCTAACCTGTCCGTGGCTAATCAGTGGTCACTGAGACTCGCCGCTAACGAACCTGTTCACCACATCATGACCTTCGACCCCAGCGACCACAACTACCTGTACCTCATGACCACACACCACGTGAGTACAGTTTAAACATTACTGTAGTTATGAGAATGTCTGAAGTGGACTCTTGAAATTCAGCGTAAGCCGATCTAGTGACGACATGAAGAACCTGTTCACAAGGCAAACTCTCAGGACGAGATCTACTAGCAGAAGAGAGACACTTCATGAATTGGCTTCATAAAATAAAGATTAAATATCTTTATCATGTATGAACTGTGAGTGTATTGAATGTACTTCAACGTCGTTAAACTACAGTCCTAATATCCCTCAGAAACACAACCGACTTCAAAGCACTGTATATACTGTGACCCGAGACGATATCAACTCATCTGTTCAAGAGTGTGTCAGTGCTGCTGACTCTATCACAGACTCAATGAGTTCATTACTTTATAAAGATATGTCAAGCCGTCTGTGTCATGCATGTGTGCAGACGCTCTGTTTATCACATTCAGGAGGAGCTGATTGATGGAGCTGTGAAACTCAACATACGACTGTGTGTTAGTCTGATGCTCACGAGCGTGTGTGTGTGTGTGTGTGCTCAGCTCCTGCGGGTTCAGGTCTCTGTGTGTGGTCTCTACAGCTCGTGCAGTGAGTGTGTGAGCGCCGGCGATGCCCACTGCGGCTGGTGTACGCTGGAGAGAAGGTAAAGCACTCGCTCTCATCCTCTCATCACTCACACTATAACCACAGCAAATGAACCCACTCTAAATCTCTCGATGGAGGATAGGAGTGTCGTTGCAGATGATTTTGCAGGATCACGATCAATGATTTGAAATGTTGCACGTGAGTCGTATGGACTACTTACTTTTGTGATACTTTTGATCTTTTTTAACAAGTATCACAAGTATCCATCTCCATTCACCTTCACTGTATGGGAATTTCTGCTTAAAACCATCTTTCATGTTTGACAGCAGAAAGAAAGTCAAAGGGTTTTGGAGAAGCAAAACCCTCTTTGGGATTTAGTGATTGTTAAGCAAAGAATGACAAACATGTGTAGAATATGTCAAGCTGCGTGTTTCCGAGCTTTAGATGTCTTCCTGTGGAGTTTATCTTTATTGAAGGGTTTTCCTGAATGTCTGGAATTGAAATCAAAAGTCACTGGGTGAAAGGCTCAGACGAAGCAGCGCAGCACTTCTCTACTTCACTCGTTTCTCACATTTATCTGACTCAGGCTAATTGTTCTCATGATAGTAGCTCTTTCAGAGGAAAATGTCAAACCACACTGAGAATCTTTTCAGCCCGCGTGTGTGTGTCTGTGTGTGTGTGTGTGTCTGTGTGTGAGTGTGTGTTTGTCTGTGTGTGTGTTTGTGTCTTTGTGTGAGTGTGTGTGTGTCTGTGTGTGAGTGTGTGTGTGTGTGTCTGTGTGAGTGTGTGTGAGTGTGTGTGTGTGTGTGTGTGTGTGTGTGTGAGGAGATTTGCTACTGCTGTTTATGACTTATGGATTATAATTACAGACAGAGCATGAAATCTTTGGCTCAGAAATGTTTCATTTAATATGCTCTTCAACCATTTTTATTCATTTTTGTTAAAATACAGAATATTTATTTTGTTACATTGCTTTGAGCCTGCAACAAACAGGATATGATGTCTTCTGTTTTAATGAATAATACAGCATATCAAATTTGCTCCAGTCTCCCAGACCGTCTGTAGGTCGCATGTTCTTCTGCTCTTCTGTATCTGCTGGTCAAAGTTCACCAAACCTAAACTTTGAGCTTGTGTTTCTTCTGTTTTCCAAATACAAATGGTGATGTATGCAGTGTGGGCTCGTGACGCTGGCCTCCCCTGCATGTGTTTGATGTGTGTGTTGTGCCGCAGATGTTCGGTCCAGAAGGACTGCTCCAGCGGGACTCTGGGCCGCTCGTGGATCAGCACAGGGGACGGAGTCCAGCAGTGTCCCTCCATGACCATCACACCCTCAGAGATCAGCCGCTCCGCTCACATGAGGGTACAACACACA